CTGTTGAAACTGATCAGTTTCAGCAGCGGCTGAATCTGGACGCCAGTTCCGACTTACATACAGATTCAACTTAAGAACAAACCTACAGTCCCTATCTTGTACGTAACCCGGGGACTGCTTGTACATTCAGATTATCTTTCAAGCTTCTGTCACAGAAATGTCAAATCTGGTCTTAACTAAAACACAAATTGTAGAATGTTTGCTTTATGGTCTTTTACAAAGTACAAAGAAGTACAAAATAGTTTGATCCTACACTATAGAAATCAGTGGGAGTTATTCCACTGTCTTTAATGGGAGCTAGATTGGCCTGTATACTGGACAAGTGAAATCCTGGCCCCATTGGAGTCAATAGCAAAATTTACAGTTATTTCTGTGGAGCCATGATTTCACCCATTGAGCACATGAATAACTACCATCACCCAGATTAACTCTGAGCTACAATATTAGAGAGAGTGAATTCTCTAAACACAACAAATATGCTGAAGGAGCAAATCAGCTCATGTAATTTTTTATTCATCTGAAGGTTATATCATTTTATATTCACTAACTGGCGGGTCACACAAGAGTTTAAGAAAACATTTATTTATTTATTATTATTATTATTATTATAAAAAAATTTCCTTGTGCCCAAAGATACAATACAAATGAAGTTAAGGTGATTATGAAGCACTCTTTAGCTGATAGAATTATGATAGAAGAGGTAACTCAGCTAATCACAAATTTGACTACAATTCAGTTGCCTATTGCAGTCTCATTGGTTCAAATGTTGTAAGTACTATTTTTGGACAACTCTCCCTTTAAAAATGTCACACTTAATTGCTCTAATATCAGAGATGTGAACTATTGCCTCCTCGTGACAAATAGATATGATGTATGGGTTTATTGTTCTAATGTCCAGGTGCCACAAGTTTCAAATTTCTCTAGAGAAATCCATTAGCTTCTTTTTTTAAGTCCGCGCAGTTGAATTCCTTTTGTTGTGGACTTTAATCCTAATGCCCCCATTGCAGACTTTGAAAACCACTTACTGTAACCTCTTTGGATTGCCTAAACAAGCATGCCTTTATAAACTTATAGTGAACTTAAATGCATTGTACATTCACAGAAGAAATTACAAAATAAAGTAATATTTCATATTTAGGCAGGTCCACCGATAGAGGGGAGAGGAGTAGGGGGCAGTTGCCCCAGAACCTGGCTAATCAAAATGGCCCAGTGTTCCCAACCACTGCTGCTGCTATTGTGGTGGTGGCAGTACCCAGAGCCCCAGGCTTTTTACATTGGTGAGCACTAGTGAGGGGAAGCTAGTCATTCCCCTTCCGCACCAGATCCTGCTCCTTCCGGGGGCATGGAACCACCCACACATACACACTTTGTCCAGGGGGTTGGTAATTCTGTTAGCCCACCTGCATTTAGTTCTATTGATGTAGTCTGAAGCCCGCTACAAAAATCAAGATCGATTTAAGTGTAAGTATTGAGAGTTACTTCTGGGATAGTGCCTGAAGTAGGCTGCTGAGACATCACTTGCACTAAGCATGAGAGCAGGTGAGATAAGTGATAGCATACTTGGTTACACAGAGCTTCCCAACGCTCCTGTACACAGCACCCTAGCTGCTGTTAAACCAAAATAATAGTGCAGTGACCACTTTGGACCTTTGGAGTCACTGTTTCATAGTAGGAGTCCGTATAGATACACAGCTTTAGTTATTAAGTACAGTAATATTGAGTTGTCAACAATGTCTAGTAAAAACTGGAATATATCGCAACCTGTTGGTCTGCTTGAAGGCTAAACAGGTCCTCTGTAGCACTTGTGAACCTTGTCAAGTCATTAGACTGAGGCAAATAAAGCTTTTAAAAAAGAAAGTTTAGAGTAGACTCTTTAGTGTCCCAGTGGGTGCAGTCCTGGCAGACTACTTCAGCCAGAAGATATTTTAGTCTGCATAGTGTGTGTTCAGTTTTAACTTTCTACCATATATGGAATGATTTGTTTATTTGTTATGTGTTTTTGTATTTGATATTAATTCTTTACCAAATGCTAAAAAGGCAACTTCCCAAATTTAACAGCTAAAGGCAACAAAACATTTTTTGCAAAAATCAAAGAAATAAACAAGTTGTAGGAAGGGAGTTTCAAAAGTACAAACAAGGAGTTACACACACAACTCTCATTGGTTTTCAAACTCCTTCATAATGTATACAGAGAAAAATATCTTCATCTGTGCCTCCCCGATGTTATCTGCCCCACTTCTGGGGCTAATGATTGGTGTAAATCAAGGGTACGTCTAGACTACATGCCTCTGTCACCAGAGGCATGTAGATTAGGCTACCAGACATAGGAAAATTAAGCGGCGATTTAAATAATTGCCGCTTCATTTAAATTTACATGGCTGCCGCGCTGAGCCGACAAACAGCTGATCAGCTGTTTGTCGGCTCAGCGCGGCAGCCATGTAAATTTAAATGAAGCGGCAATTATTTAAATCGCCGCTTAATTTTCCTATGTCTGGTAGCCTATCTCTCTAACTACTCTGATTCCCAAAACCCCAGTTTCTTACAGGGCCTGGTAACATTCAATCACTAACCTCCAGTCATGTGCTCCTCATTACCTGTCTATGATGGATTTATTACCAGTTCACAAAACCCAAGAAGTGAGCATAAATCAATTGATCCTAAACCAAATGCCTGCTCACAGGACCTAAAAGAAACATGCATTTCTCTAGAACTGTTCTGCCCTCACCCCTTTAAACCCACTTTCATGTAGATATTACACTTACTCAATTGTTTTACCTGTCTTATCTATCTACTACATCTAGATTATTTATATGTGGTCCATCTCTATGATATTTAGGAGGATAAATATTTACTGGCATTCAGTAGATAGTACTCTTCCCAGTGCAAGGACATTATTTTATGTTATGCCCATAAAGTCAAGTGCACACTTGTGGCACCATAGTAATAATAGGGTTGCAGTAAATTTGGAAAATTAGAAACAATATAGGATTGAAATTATATAGGCAAAACAAAAGATCTTTTTAAAATTTGTATGTAAAATTGCATATAATACTATTTAAAATTTATTTTTCTTGCCATACTGGACTATGAAGAATTTTAGTAGTGTTCAGGATTCACTAAAATTTGCCATGAGAGAATTCTTCTGAGATGGTAGTAATTCCATTGTTACTTTACCTAGATTGAAGACAAATATATATTTTTTAAAATCGTAAATCAGCTGCTCAGTAACTTCTTAAAATGCTTACCAACCTGCTTAACATATAGTGTAGGGTTGTTCCAAGTGTTCAGCATTGATAACAATCCTGTTGACTTCAATTGGAACTGATTTAGGACACCAGGGAATGCCTTAGGAAACCCCACCCATCATTATAAAAATGGAATCTGTGACTATAGGATATGAGAAACTGTAAGTTGGTTTTCTCTCCTTACAGTCTGTCAATACAGCTGCAAGAGAGAGATCCTAGATATGTTGACCCAGAACAATGTTTCGTACGGGTAACATTCTCTTCTGATTATGCCAAACCTGTATAAAGCCGAGACAATCTATTCGCAGAGTAGATTGTCTTTTAAAAGTGTTGTGAAGGCTTCCTTTAGGATGCAAATTGAGAGGTCAGATGTAGAGGGATTGTGAACACTTTTCACAAAGCAAGCAGGCACTAGGGTATTTTGTCTTTTATTATTTTCCTACATGAGTTAATTTAAGAGCATAGTGATTATCTAGTTTTACCCACATAGTTGTTGCTGTAGCATGTAGCTCACTGGATGAGGTACACCACATGTTGTAATAGGCACGTATAGGACCAATGGATGTTGAAAGGTGTGTTGTGGAGCTGATCATTGTGGCAGTGGAGCTATGTCTGCGGGTTTGGGGATCTGTTGTTCTGCTCTGCTGATGCTCTAAATCTGGTGTATCCTGTTCTGTGAAGAGCTGGCTTCTAATCATGAAAAAAATTGAGAGATTGTTTGAAGGCCTGAAAATGGGGGTTATGGAAAGATTTCTTTCAAGGTGGGTAGTTGAGATTTATAAATGCTTGGTAGAGATTCAGAGAGAATAAATGTACTTATCACATATTTCATAGCAATATGCAAATGCTGATATTGTCTTTTGGCACTGATGGATAATGTTAATTTGCAAAAAAAAATCCTTGGTGTCCACCTGTCAGCCGATGGTCAGGGCAGTGTGTGTGTGTGTGTGTGTGTGTGTGTCTGTGTGTCTGTGTGTTATACACCCGAGTCTTCAACTGCTAGGACACAAGGTCCTGTCGCAGTGGGCGGCCTTAGGAGAGGCCAATGGGCGCCCTGAGAGGTTTTACGTCCGTGTCTTTAGCCACTAGGACCGAGGTCCGTTCGCAGCGGGCAGCCAACAGGCTGACAGACGCCCTAAAGTTTACAGGGAGAGCTTATTACACCCGTGTCTTTAGCTGCTAGAACCAGGGTTCCTCCACAGCGGGCAGCCTATGGAAGGCTGACCGGCGCCCCACGGATCTGTCCCCTGGAGGTGACGTGATCCAAATGCCCAGCTCTGCCTGCATCTGCTCCCTATGACCGGCTGAAGTTCTTTTAAATTGTGCTTGGTTCTGTTACAGCAACTGAAGGAGTCAGGTTAAAGCTTAAACAGTTACAGGTTTATTAAAGAGACTTCTAAAGCATATGGTTACAATGGCTATTGCTTTATTTCTTAACTGCTAGCAAATAAATATAGGTGCCAGCCAAGGCAGTTCTCGCAGCCTCGAGGTTAACAATTGGCGTATCTCTGTTTACAGCCATCCAGGGTCACTGTGAGCTAGCATATCCAGGCCTCCTGTCAAGGCTTCAAAGACTATGCTGATTTTACTGCTCTGTGTGTGACCTGTATGCTCCAGGCAAGCAAGATGGATGTTTCAGGTGGGGGTTCCTGTCTGGCTGCACCACCCATAAATATTTTAGTTAGGAATTTTACAGGGATAATATGCTTGGTAAATGCATCTAGTGTTAAAATGATTTAACAAGTCAGCTGTTGGCAACAAATGAAGCACATAAAAAGCAGCCAGGGAAAGATAGAACACAATTCTGGAAGTCTGCAAAACATAGGTGCATTAATTTTATTAATGTAAGTCAGCATATGATGTACCTTCTAGCAATTTATTCAATTTGTCATGGAGACAATAACAGAAATGCTTGGTCCCGGTAAATTCTCTGACTTGGTCAGAAAGTCACATTTGGTTAAATGAAGGAAATTATATTGATTCTTTGACAGCCCTTTTCTACAGAACTTTATTAATAATAATTATTGTTTGTATTTTGGTAGAACCTAGTGACAATTGAGAACAAGGCCTCATTTCACTAGGCTCTTTACAAATTGAGTAATAGATGGTCCATTACTCTACCCCAAAGAGCTCAAGATTTTAAATAGACAAGGTAAATCAAAGGGAAGGGAAAGTGATACAAGTAGAGTGAACAAACTGATGGCTGGCAAATGTTATGTTAGAGCTACTATTTTGGTGAGAGAAGGTTAGTAGGGCTTTCTTTTTCTTTTTCATTCTTTGGATGGATGATTGCTGAAGGGCAGGTTAGCTAGTCAGGCAAAGGAAAGAAGGGAAGAGGAGAGCACTCAGGTCAGGTAAAGTTAGGCTGAGAATAAGACACGGGTGAGGCAGGAAGTGGCAGGAATAAATTGTCATTTTCCAGAGCAAAAACTGGTGAAAATAGTCTGAAGTCATCAATAGCCAACAGTTCCTTTGACAGAACTTGCTGCCACTGCTTCTGTATCTGCTCCCGCCAGAATCATTATTTCTGTGACCCTGGGGGGTTGGCTTCTTCCCAGAATTTTTCTTCCCAGAGCATCAATATCCCCATTTCTCCCTCAACATAGCTGTTAAGTAGCATGGGGATTACAGTGCATATGGCGGAATCAATGAATTTAGTCCATGTTACTATTTGTGAGTTATCTACAAAGAGATGACTTCTTCTCATTCCAAAGCGTCTTCACAGATACATGGAGCAGTGTATCATCACCATTCATTTCTGTTGATAGCTTGTTCCTCTATTAAGATCCACCTGTTCATGTCTTTGTGTACAATATCCTACCATTAGTCGGTCATTTGCTTCTAGATCTGTCTGACCTTTGTTGCATTTTCATTATTTTTGGGCATATCATCCATTTATCTTCTTCAGTGTCCCAGCTACTGTAATCCTTTTGATTGCAGCTAATGCTGTACCATAATTTGACATTCTGCTTTCCTTCTAACTTATTGATTTGTCTTCAAATCATTTCACAGTCTACTGACCATCTTTCAAAGAATTCTCATCTCTACCACCTCCAGCCTTCTGATGTCTGTACTTTTAGTAGAATGATTTACGTTTTCACTTTGGTACCAAACAAATGGCACATCAACTCCTGTGTGGAACCTGTAGCTAAAGCACATCTCCTTTTAACTTTATCTTTGATGAACATGTTGGCACTGATCAAACTTCCTAGATACTCATAAGATTTACATATTCTACAACTTTACTGCTGCTCCATTTCAATATTTTTCCAATACAAACACTTTTTCATCTTGGCATTTATTGTAAATCTAAGTCAACTACATCAGAGTTCCAATGAATGAATTCTAATATGTCTGCCAGATATACAATGTCATCTGCATAAGTTAAAGAGCATAACTCTAGAATATTCAATGTCACTCTCTTCAACTTGTCTACAATTCTTAATATCCAGTATAAGAACATGATGAAAAGTGATGAGAATTCCATATCCCTTTTCTTACATCAAACTTTGACTTGAATCAGTTGCTTAATTTTCCACCAATTCTTTGCAAAGACTTAGTTTTTTATAAATACATTTGTTCAGAATTCTTCCACAAATGTGAGCATTCCATAAGCAGAATCATTTGTGCTTAAAATGTTTACGGCTGTCTGGTAGAGCAGAGGATTGAGGGGTGATGCAATATGAAATAAGTTTTGAGATGCAGGTGAGGTGGAGTAATGTAGGGTATAGAAGATGAGACTGAGCTGTTTGAAGATTGTGTAATTTGCAAGTCATACATATGTAACCATTCCCCCACTCCTCACTCAGACAAAATTCCTGTTGATTTCCATAGCAGTTTTTTTTCCTGAGCAAGTATTGCAAGATTAGCTCCAAGATGAATAAAACAAAAATATCTAAAAATCTAACATGACACAAAACCGTAGAATATAGGATATCTGTACTGTATTTCAATTCAACATTAGACAATAATCTAGTTCAGTATTGCTTATGTATATATGCAGTGTGTTCCTATAAACATGTCTATGTTTATACAGGTGTATGTCATATATAAATATACACACACTCTATATTGCACAGCATACATTTTCCTATAGATGATGGGATATGTAAGAGAGAATGTCAACCACAACATTAGATATTGGGTGAAACAGAGACCTGTTATATAACTCCATTGACTCCAAGATTTTGGGGGATGGAATTCTTTCCCAGATGCCTTTCTGGTGCCTCATGAACCTATGCTCAGAAAGTTTAACTGATGAATCTATTTGGGGTTAGGAAGGGATTTTCCACTGGGTAAGAAGGCACAGATGCTGGGGTTTCACATTCCTCTGCAGCATGGGACATGGGTCACTTGCTGGTTTGAATGAGTGCAAATGGTGGATTCTTTCTAGCCTGAAATATTTCAATCTAGATTTGAGGATTTAAGTAGCTCAACCAGTGATTATGGGCCTATTACAGAAGTGGGTGGGTGAGATTCTGTGTCCTGTTATGTGCAGGAGGTTGGACTTGATCATCATTATGGTCCTTCTAGCCATAAAGTCTATGAGTGTAAGTTATGTAGGGAATGACGTTGGGATAGTGTTTCTTGAAATATTTGTTCAGAATGACATAGTGTAATGATTTGCTGCGTTGACTTTGACTTGGAGAAGTAGTGGTCCAGCCTGCCTCATTCTTGAGTGGTGTCAACAGCAGTCAGTCTATATCTCTATTTCCCTTTTTCCTGCTCTGAAATGAAATTAAAGTGCTTCTAGAAAATTACAATAAAGCTGGTATTACATTTGATTATGATGTAACAACACAACTGTAATAGGTTCACTCTCCTCTTGTGAGCACCCATATGCATATACTTGCACTCTTTCTCTCTGCTTCTTCCTGCTCCAGAATACAGCAGTGTCCCAACGCCCCTGCCTCTGGGATGCCTCAATATCCAGGCCTCTCCCCCCTTGCCATCCCAGCGGCTAATGGGAAATTTGGGGGCACCCAGGCTTGCCCACTACTCTGGGTCTCAGATAGCCTCTGTCTTCTGTGTCCATTCATTCCAAGTTCCACTGCTACTCTAATTCCCTGGGGCTTTTCTCTGTGGCCCTTTGCCATCTTCACCCTTACCTCAGGGCTCTGTCCAAGATGGAGTCCCAGCTCCCAACTCAGAGCTCCTTCTTCTTCTCTCCGGCTGCTGGCTGCACCATCTAGTCCAGGGTTTTCCGGCTCAGCCCATCCATGCTCCTACAGCTCCAGCAAGGAACTGCCTGTCTCTGTCCCAGTGCTTTATACGATCTTGCTGGGTCCTCATTGGCTACTTCTCACACACCGCTCCAGAGAGCTTGGAGGACTTGTCTGCTGCTCTTTTCTGGCGTAGGCTATGACACAGCCTACAGCAGGGGGCCTTGGGGCTTAGTCTATCCCATCACAACAACCAAATCAAATACCAGACTATATTAACATTTGCTAGTCAACTGAGCATCCTTTTAACATCTTTCAATAATTTCATATTAAAGAGAAATAGATATGAATACAATATGGTAATTAAGGTACAATGAAATAATAAAGGTTTACTGTATTCCTCTTTGAATTCTACTCTAAGCAGTTTCAGTGCAATCTGTCATCTCATGTTAGCAGGGGGGAAGTACAAGAATGGAAAATATTTTTGCAAATTATCTCTGATATTTATGTCAGTAATTTCAGGAAATGTACAGGTATGATGGCCATTTCCCTCTGTTTCATATGCATAATATTAATGAATAATTCCAAGCAATACATTGTGTAAGGCTATTGCACTGATAGCATGACTTTAATCACTTGACCTTTTGCCTTATGCCTCAGAACTGGAAGTGACTTTAGATAAGCTTAAGCCAGTGGAGAACAACTCAGATATTTGATAGCATCACCAACATTCAACACACATGCCACAAGATCCAATGCCAATACACTCAGATATTTTCCCTGGAATGTCTAAGCCAGTTTACAAATACCTGGAGCATTAACCCTTTGACCTAGGCTAAAGAGGCCCACGTGGTTCAACTCACAACTGCTGTATATAATAATCTCACATAGGTATATAGCATTTATGTCTGTCACAGAGCTGTTGTGAAAATTGTAGGGCAGTATTTTCCAGTGGGGTTTAAGGTATGCAACTGCCATTGAGTTTAGGTCCTTTGAACTTTAGATGTTTGAAAATTTCAGCCAGAATGAATAAAATAAAGAATGTTAGTAGTAGCAAAGAGTAGAGACAAAGCTGATTCTAAATAGAAGCACTTAAACCAAATATTTTCGGAACTATTTTTGCAAATATGATGGAGAGAGGTGATTGCCCATAATGAAAGGCCCAATCCCCTGACATGCTAACTGCTGCCAATAACCATGACACAGTGCCAGTGGGCACAGAATCTCCATGGTTTTCAGCTCTCAGTCAGTAGGACAGAAAGAAGAGGGGAATAAATGGAGAAGAAAAGGATTATCTGAGATTATTTTCCCCTAATTCCACAATTGTGTGTTCTAATGTATTCACAAAGATCTTAGATCTGTCCT